ATACAACCTTCCCTTAGGTTCATCCTGACGAGGGATTAATAGCTCCCACCTAGGAGACGGCAACCTTACACAGGTGCCGTGGAGCGGGTTTCAAGTACCCTATCTCCACCGGGTCGGCCATCTTACACACTTCACTTCACAAAACTCTGTCTATCAACATTTACAGCGATTTTCGGTCTGTCCTAAAAGCTCTATTAAATCCCAATTGCAAGGGCGATAAAATCGCATATATCCAGCACCGTATTAAAAATCTTGTAAATAAGATTACTTTTATATTTGTTCCTGGCCATACTGGCATACTAGGAAATGAAAAAGCCGACTTTGAGGCTAAGTCAGCCGCAAAGCGCACCGATTCGGACTACACTCGCATCCCTCTCTCGCGTAGCAGCCTTAATTAATTATTAAAAATTATATTGGCGACAACGCTACGCAAAGGTGGAATCGGTAAGAGTAGTCGAGCATTAAAACTGGTAGAATAACGAGACTTTATTTTCTTAGTGTCGAATGCGGGTTCTCATCACTGTTTAGAGATTTAACGTTCGCTACCGCTCAACTATTTACCGAGCGTGGTAATTTTAGAAGCTACCCGGCGACGTATAACCGGGCAGAAGCCGCTTGTGGCTTTTGCTCTATACAAAACCTAGACACCATCGACCATAAGATCTATCATTGTCCAGTTTACAATCAAGATAGACTTATTCCGAAACTAGAAATTTTTACGCTGGGTTTCGGGTGGCCGTATCCACACGATAAGCTGGTTCAGAAAACAATGTTTGATGCTTTTTACAATTATGTTCAAAAATATGGAAGAAAAGACTATTTATAATTTCTAGTTTTACATTTTACTTTTCACTAAAAGCCGAATACTAATTTCATGTTTATTTTGTATCGTGTATTTTGCTTTATATATTCTTAGTGTTATTACACCCGTAGCAGTTATTGTAATAAAAACAAGAGACAAATCACCGCACGGCCTTTCTCCCGCCACAAAAAATGTGTAGAGGGTGAATCTGCAAACGTTATTACTCTATGGCGTCACACCAGACAACGAGCGTTCTTAATACAAACCGCCAAATTCAAAACGTCACTACCGGACGAGAGGAAAACATAAAAATAAGAGTATTACGTAAGCCGAGATGTTTTACCCCCACCCCCGAGTAAGAAATCGTAAGAGATCCTCCACCTCCTTACGTAATTTACGGACGACCCCAAAGTATAAATTACAGATAATCGGTGACTGGAATCTTTTTCGGATACGTCCGAATCGGTTAACTTACGTCTGGCAGAAAACTTAACCATCCGGGCCCATCCCATACGGTAACGACGCTAACCGAAAGACTACGGTCTAACAAATATCAGCCAGTCGGAATTTCTTGTACACGGAGATTGGATTTCGGACCCTCTACCCGTCGTCGTCTTTACACCCGAGAAAGGGAAATAACGTAATCGACCGCAAAATTGACATCTCTTCTGTTTAGCTCTTACCAAATGTCTGGTCGTGGCGTTTTCCTTGTAATTATTTTCGCGCCCGAACAACTGGTCCAATACCCGCGCCCCGTCTTATTGATTTTTATTAATAAATATTTTCCAAAGAGAGCGTACGTTAGAAGAAACAGTAATGGTAGAAAAGTATGGCCGAGGAAATTCGTATCGGATGGCGTTAATCGAACTGGATTTTACAAGTCTTCGGTGACGGACATTTCGTGGCCGTTGGTCGTAAACTACTTTGCCACATTACGTAAATGGTTTGGTCGACGCCGGCAAACCCATAGGTAAGACGTTTGCCCGTCGTCCTAAGCGTTTACTAAGGAATGTTTTTAATCGCTCCTTCTTTTACCGCGGTTATATTTTTCAAACTTTTCCGCCACGCTTAAAAGTTTTACGTACGATTTAACTATAATCCTTTTATTTAAATTTCTTTATTACGTCGCCCAGTGGCAGAAATTCGTCGTCCAGTCGTAGCGGTTCCCGATTGGTCGGTCCGGGCGGAGCTTTAGCCACGCCTCCGCCTGGCTTACGGAATTGTCTTCCGTCGACTGGCATTTTCCGTTACTGGCCGCGGCCGTCCAAAAATATAATAAATGGGGCCCGCCACTTGGTTTTCGAGATAGAAGACGGCTTTGCCGCTCCGCCTTTCTCCGTGTTCGGGCTTAGGGCCGTTTCGCGCTACTACCCACCGGTCCGACTCCCGGTGGCGTTGCCGCGGTAACGGCAGTCGGCCGACCGACGGATTTAAAATGTTAAATATTTGTAGTCGGGTGGGAGCGGTCGGCCAGCTACGGCCAATCGGACTGGGAATACACGAAAACTATCCATTCGACATTATATATACCGTATTTGTAATTTATTTAAATGTTCCCTCGTGCCTTCTTTCTTTCGCAATCGCTTAAATTTTATACGGGAACACAAATGACTAATATATAGCCTGTATTAAAAAACATTATCGACGTAACCAGAAAAGACGGTAATATTTAGACTTTTGGGAAGAACTTATCCGCCAAGTTTAACGGGTCGATTACAAAATTATTTTAAAATGGTGGTAGCGCCAATGGCCCTAAAACTGCGCCTGTGGCCGCATCCGTTACCATAATTGGCTAAGAAGCTTCTTATATTTTCGATTAAATGGCAAAAAGCATACTTTACGGGGTAGGGACGGGTTTTATAAAAAAAATTGTAAAATCTAATAACCAGGAAAATCGTCGTTAAGTCCGACCGTGCCGGACAAACCACGCGCCATCCCCTTTACCTTCCCTAAATTTAATAGCGTCGACCTGCCTAATACGCCAACCTCCCGCAAAATTTCCGAAATTTTCCACGAAAAGCGCGGGAGTTATTAAGCTTCCAACGAGGAAAAGAAAATCGCGCCCCCGCACTAACGTCCGTACGTACGAATAAAACCTCCGAAGTTTCTATTTTTTTGCATTTTTCGACGTTTCCGGGTGTCCCGAGCCCAAAAATGTAAAATTCTCGGGTGTTGTTATTCGACCCGTCGTCGTACTTTATATAACGGAGTTGGGAAAGTAAAAGTAGGAGTCCGCCACTGGGTTTTCCCCCGCCGCCGAGTGCGCCTAACGGAATTTAGGCCCGGAGATGAAAAATAAAAACGGCATGGCGCCGGCTTAACGGAAAATGGGCGCGAAAACCACGAAAAGGCCAGGACGAAAGAACGGATGGCATCTCCGCCTCGGCCAGTTGGAGGATGGCCGACGGATGCCACGACGACCTCTTCCGCGCCTAACCTGTGCGGGGATGGCTTCTTTCTTCTCGGCTCCTCCTCCATTCTACGGCCGTAAGACAAAGTGGCGCCGCGTCCCGGCTGGAGAGACCAGCGCTAATTACTTTATTTACCTTTAAATGAAAAGAAAAATTGCGCACAGTCGACGAGAATATCGTATCGAAACTGAATTGGATTAAACGGTCGGACGAATTCCAGTTAACCGGGTTCCGCCGCCTCTCGTCCCGTAACGCGCGAGCGGCCAACTTTCGTGTACGTAACATCTACTTTTCGTCTTTAAAATGTCGGGCCGTCGTAGGCGCAGTCTAAGTGGCCAGGGCAGGCGCGAAATACATACTACGCTTAGACAGGTAAGAAAAGCCACAATTTAACTGAAAACAAAAACACTACTTAAATTTTAAAGAGAAGTTTCACTTTCGGGGACTTTTCCTCCGTCCCTCTTCCCGCCTTTCTTTTTTTTTTTTGGTTTTACCGGCCTTTGTCTACGTTTCTTATTCTCCTTTTACAACTGTACGCCAACGGATCGCGCGTGGACCCACAAAACCGCATCTAAGGGAGGAGGCGGAGGTCCGATATGGCTACGGTTGCTTTTGCGCGTTACCTTGACGCGTGGCGTTCGGTTACGAGTGTAACGTTAAGTCAAGACGTGGCGAGAGATGGACTGGTTGGCCACCCCTGCCGTAACGGATACGCCAAGACAGACGAGGGAAACGCTGCCCGGCCGAGCGGTCTCCGTTGCCGCTGGGAAGTTCGGTGGCGGGCCGGCTCGTCTTTCGCAGAAACAGCCTGTATGGGCTATTGTCTCCGTACTAACCATTTGAGATGAGAAGATTTGAGAATCTCTGGTGACGGCAACGGCGCCTACTGCCAATTTTTTTCCATTTTTAATACGTCATTATTTGTTAAAATTACGTTTTGTTCGAATATAAATTTAAAAGTAAGGGAAAAAATTTTTCAAAATTAAGGTTTGGAGATTCGGAAAACTTTAAACCGGTTTTTCGGGCCGATGGCGACAGTGGCCGACAATGGGTTTATTATAGATGCGCAGTACGACGGGTAACATTACAATACGTAGTGAATGGGTGGAAACCCGGGGACCCACCTCCCCGGGGATTATTTTATACTCCGGGCGACAGACCCGAGCATTGCGGGATAAATATCCCTATCCGACGCCGTCCCCTCGGCGTCGGATAGGGATATTTATCCCGCAATGCTCGGGCTCGAAACCCGGGTGGCCCCGGCGAAAAGAATAAAGGAACGAGTGGCGTTTCGCCGCTTATCTTCCACGGCGCTTATCTTCATAAGAAGAGCCCGGGAATTCGTCTTTTTCGCGCTTCACCGCGTCTACCACCACTTTCTATCCCGGAAACGAATTTTCGCGGCGCTTGTCCCTCTTCCCCCGAAAATTAATATTCCCCGTCCTTCGACTTCTCGCCCGCGGAAGGAGCCGAAGGAAACGGGTCCCGGGCGGCGGACGACCGTACCCAAACTCCGGAGGGTGGGAATAGTCGGTTTCCGCGCGGAGGATTCGGCCATTTTCGGAGACGACGACGGAAAGCGGCGCGTTCCGCCGTAAACGCGCGCCGCGCGCCTCCGACGGACAGGGAGAATCCGCGGGGCGGGAGAAAGGGCCGTCCGCCCGGCACCCGGGAATTTCTGCTTCGGACCGGGAGCGCCTGGGCGCGAAACCGGAAAATCGTGGGCGCCGTTTCTGGGCCGGAAGGCCCGGGCGCGGGCGCGCCGATCGGCGCGCCGGCGGGCGACGGCTTTTCGTCTCCGCCCACCGGCGACGCCTGCGCCCCAGGAGCGATTCCGAGTTGCGACGATCGTCGGCGCGTCGGCGACGAGATGGCCAACGTTCCTACCGGACCCACCTTCAAGGCGACGGCGGCGGACGCGGGTGAGTTCTTTCTTCTTTCCGCGGTCGGAGGCGTCTTCCGGTTCCGTACTTTCGACGGTTCCGGTCCTTCCTCGGCCCTTTCCCTTCTTCCGTGGGGCAGCAAACACCTTCCGGACGTCGGAGACGGTAAAAGGTCTTTCGGCGGGGACGAAAGACGAAGGGGGAAGCGGGGGAGCCCAACGCGGAAAGAGGGACCCGTCTGTCCTCCGTCCCTTCCCGCAACTCTGTCGGCCGGGGTTTACGTCGGGCGGCGGCCCGCGCGCCGCTCCGCCCGGAAAGTAAATATTTGGGTGGACGGCGACTGCTCCCTTTCCGCTAATAAAACGACTTCCGTCCCTCGCGCGCGTTTCGTCGACGGACGAGAACCGGGTCCGGGAGTCGACGCGCGGACGAGGCGGCCAGACGCGGGAGCGGAGCGCGGCGCCGAGTTACGTAAATAGCGGATCCGGGCGGGGTTATTCCGGGAAACGTCGATTTTAGAAGGAGTTATTTCGGGAGGATCGGCGTCGACGGTTATTTCGGTCGCTTCTTCCCGGAAGCGGGAGTCCGTAAAATTAGAATAAAGAGGAAGCGACGGGGCGGCTGCCGCGCCTCGGCCCAAACGCCCGTCCACCCAGTCGCGTCCTAGCGGGGGACGGCGGGAGGTCTATTTCCGGCTTTGACCGGAAAGTAGCTTTTTTTTGTTACGGTAAAGAGAAGGGAGGAAGTAGACCGGAAGCGCGGTTCGACGGAGACGAAAGGACGAAATTTCCGCCGGGATTTTCCGGGCCGAAAGTCGCGTTTCTAAATGGCATGGCCGAAAACTGCTCCGGGGAGAAGTATTTTTCTGCCTTCCCCGGAAGATTCGTCCCTTTTGGGTTTTTCCGCGGGTAAACGGCCGACGCCGGCCCGATTCCGGGAACGGCCTCCCGGTTTATAATTGGGGGGTGGAAGGAACGGCCGGTCGAACTCCCCGCCCGCTTCTTTCCCCGTGGCCGTGTGGAATTATTAATGGGTCGGCCGCCTTCTTTATTTATTCATCCCTCGCGCTCTTCGTTAGGCGCCGATGGCGTGCGAAGAGAAACGAAACTACCGAGAAGACGGCCGACGGCCGATATCCGGCTCCGGGGGACGTCTTCGTTTAACCGGAAAGACGTTGGCGGCCGTCTTCCGGTTGGTCGGACTTATCTTCCCTTAAGGCAGCCGGCCGAGAGACGGTAAGGGAGATCGGGAACCGGAAGCGCGGGGTGGAAGAGGGCCGACGTTAGAAAGAAAGGTCGCAGGGGCCAAAAGTCCGCGGCTTCTTTGTCTCGTAGAGTGCCAAATATGGCGGCCTGCGGTCAATTTACCTAAGAGGGGGGTGGGCGTCCGCCGCCGACGGCTTTTCCTCCGTTTTGGCCCGGGCGTCGGGTTATTTTCTTCGGCAAACGCGCCGGTTAATCGGTTAGCGACGGTCGTTTACGCTGGCCGCCTTTTTCGTTATTTTACGAATCTTGTCGGGCGCCTTTTAAGCGGAGTTTCGACCCATTAAAGGGCGGAAACGGGAGGACGGGTGTCCGGAAGAGGCGGGGAGACGGGCGGCATTGGACGTTTCCACCCGCCCCGCCGCGTGTAAGGCCGGTGCCGTGGTTACGCGCCCGGAACGGAAAGCCGTACCCGCCGGAGCGGGCTCTCCGGTCTCTCGGCCGTTTTTTTCGCCCGCCAAACACGTAGAACGATTTCTCGACAATAAAAAGGAGGACTTTCTTTTCGTTAAAAAAATGAATTTAAAGGGCGGGAACCCGTGGCAACCGGACCCGACCGCTCTTGGGGAGAAGGCGCGCGCTAGGGCCGGAAAGAAAGAGAAGTTAGAGTTAGACCGTGGTACGGATAAATTCCGGCGGTCCCCTTACGGCCACCCGCGGGGTGGAAAGCACAAAGGCGTCGAACGAAGAATACGGAAATGACGAAAAGGGCGCCTTTCCAATTACGGGATATTCGTCGGTCGTTTTCTTGGCGCCCGCTAAAAGTACTTCCGGTAACGACAGAGAAGGACACCCAACTTCTTCCCCTACGTTTAGCGGAAAAACCTACGCGTCGGACGAAAAGTCTGCCCCCCGCCGCCTCTTAGAAACTGTAGCAGGAACCGTCCGCCCATTAATTTGTCTCTCCGCGGATTTATCCCCGGAATTTTGCGATTTTATAAAAGAAAACGTCGTTTCCGGCCATTTAACGACGGTGGCCGGCCGTTTTACGCCACCGTCTCGGACGAATCCCCCGGGTACCGGTACCGGAGGGTCTTAGGTGCGGGGTGGGCCTAAGGGTCGTAGTCCGTTCTCGACGTTTACCGGGTCGAAGGCGGAAAGGGCCGGCCACCCGTTAATTACCTTAACCCGTTAGCCGCCACTCGGGGCACCGACTACCGGACGAGTAATTCCGGCCGGGGAAGGCGCGAACCGAAATAGAACACCGAATTTACCGGTAGGGACGTGGCTTTTAAAAACGTCGGCGGCGATAAATTAGGAGAAAAGAGTCCATCGGTGGCTGGCCTGGTATTTTCTAAAATACAAATACATTTTCGTATTTCGACACAGTTTCAATTAATTTTTATTATAACCGCATTACGTATCTGGCGTGCATAGAAATTTGTAATAAGGTTTAGCTGGTGGATGCTACCCGCCAGCGTATCCGGGACCGGCACGGCTTCCCTATCGTCAAATGTCCCCGTACGAACCGCAGAAAGAAAGAAATTAGGTTTATCGGACGTCCTTCGCGCTCCTCTTTATCCGGGGCCAGAGTACGTTTTTTACGTTTTGCTGGGCATTAGTGCCGCGCAAAACCTGGCAATTCTCGGTGTTTTTACCCCGTAACTATACGGGACGATACCGCACACGTTTAGCGTTTACGGGTGTTTTAACTCCGAATTGTAAACGTAGGAAATAAGACGGGGCGTAGAAAAGACGTTTACCTCCGATAACCGAAAAGCCTTAATCTCGGCCGTAGTAAAGTGGCGTCGGCTATATCCGGGCATAGGTTTAACCTGGCCGACAACGCTAAAACCGGACCTCCCCTTATTTAAGCCCGGGGGACGGAAAGGAAAGAAACCGTCGAGGAAATAACGCCGTGACAGCCAATTTGACCGGGTTTGGAGCCAAGTAGACCCGTCTTTGTAGCGCGTGGCCCGGAGTCGGATGGACGATTAAACGCAGTTGCGACGGAAAACCCGAAGCAACCGGTAATTAATTCTTATAAAATGGCGAAAGTCTCGGTTTCCGGGCCGGAGACGAGTTCCGTCGAATATCGTAAACGCTAACAACCGGTAAAATCCGTCTCCGGACGGGGACCGCACCCTTCGTCTTTAATTAAACCGCCGCCGGCCGTTAATCTTCACCCCGTTCCCGAGTATCCACGGAACTTTTTACCGGCGGCTGCATCGAATTTACCGACTCGACGGGTAATCGGGTAAAATCGACCACCTTAACCGACGATTACGTAGAATTGCCGACGAATTCGATAAATACGGGCGAACGTCGGTACTTTTAAACTCGCCCACCTTTGGCGGTGGCGACGGAGTAATCGAAACCCGTGCAAAACGCGCCTTTTGTTTTGTTATTACAGAACACGGCCGAATAATTTCCTCGTACTTTCCGGTGACGGAGGAAGAAGAAACGTCGTCGCCCGCCATAATTCGACTCGGCCGGTAGACGAAAAGACATGCCGCGCGTAGGGATAGAAGTGCCCGGGTTGGGGAAAAACCACCGACGGGCTGTCCGGTTTAATCGTTCGGATGGAGCGCGTATTTTCCTCGGCCGCCTCCCATCCGCGCCCACCGGAACTATACCTTCTTATTACTCTCTTGGTACCGTGTTTCCCCGAAAATAAGACAGTGTCTTATATTAATTTTTGCTGTGAAAAATGCGCTAGGTCTTACTTTCAGGGGGAGGTCTTATATTTCGCAATTCAGCAAAATCTGTGCTAGGTCTTATTTTCTGCGGATGTCTTATTTTCGGGGAAACACGGTAGTAGAATTAAGCCCGGCGTGGCGGGTAAAGCCCTTTGGGTCGTTGGCTTTCGGAGGGAGCGGAGGGGAAGAGGCTCCGGCTTCTTTCTCCGTCCGCTTCTCCCGCCGGAGCGGAAGAAAGAGCCCGGGAGGAGGATTTGTAACGGATTCCCTTGGTGGTCGACAGTTTGGACGCCGGGAAGAAGACGGGAAGAAGAAGCGGAAGAGAAGGAGAGGAGGGAGGAGGCGGAAGAGGAGCGTTCTCCCGTCTGGCGACCCTTCGGAGCCCCTCCCGACCGTCCGCCGGCCTTTCGACCCGTCGGACCGGACCGCCAGGTAAGTCCTACCGGGGACCCACTTCTTTTTTCCGCCGGTAAAACGTTACGTTTTCCCAGCGTTATCGGCGGTTTTCGAATTTCCTCCGGGAAGGCGAAACTAAGGGATTTTCGGGCCCGGAGAGGGAACGGGTGGGGAAAGCCGTCTCTCCGTACTCCCCCGGGGCCGCGCCGGGCGAAACGGGTGGTTTTCCACCCGTCGGGTAAATCTCGGGTCTTGGCCGCACGAAAGAGTCTTTCGTCCCTGGGAGCAGACGCCGTGGGTGAAGAAGGGCGGAAACCGCGGCAGTCGAAGGAATCGGACGAAAAGTGAGGCGAAGGAAAGAGTTAGAAAATTAAATTAAAAGACGCCATGCCAATTAAAAGGCCAAAGATATTTGGGATGAGGCTGCACTAGCGACGTTGCTATCTCGCAAATAACAATAACCATGACTTTACCAACGGACCAGAAAATAGCGCAATTCCGTGCCGCCGCCTTTTATTAAAAACTCATTTTTATAACTATTGATTAATATAAAAAGGCCAAAGGTTTAATTAAGGAGTAGACGGGGAAATTTCGCTTCCGCCCAAATATAATGCGAAATACGCATCCGCGGTTGGGCGACGGCCTGGAAACGCGCGAAAAGGTAAAAGCCACCTCCCGTTCCACCCGCCCCGAAAAACCCCCGGCCGCCCGTTTTATTTCTATAAAAATAAAAGCCGCAAAAAAGATGTCTATTTTAAACAATACTGGCGCGTTTGTTCGATAATGAACATTTCGGTAGCGCCATCTCTTATCGTATTTTATATTTTTAACTACTGTATTATAAAATGGCAAAAAGCTTAATTTTCAGCTACCGAGAAAAGGTATAGGCCTATGACGGGTGCGCACCATTTCCTTTATTTTCCCACCCTTCGACCTTTACCGTCTTCGCATAATTCCTGCGCTTTCTGTGGAAAATTTCTGAAATTTTGCAGGGACGTTTGGGTGATCGATGCTATTAAATTTCGCTGGTTAAAGGTGGTGGGGGTAGGAGGATAAAGGGGATGGCGCGTGTCTCTAGTAGGGTGGGACCTAAGGACCATCTTACTGCTTTTTTTTTTATAAAACCCGTCCTTACTTCAAAATTAAGCTTTTTGCCATTTTACCATAGCCGAAAATATAAAAAGTTTTTAAATAAAATAAGATAACGGGGTGTCGCCACTAAAACTTTCAATGTTGCCCAGAAAGTCCAGTAACTCGTTACTGGTTTATTTATGACTAGCGGAACGAACCCGGCCTCCTTCTCGCCAAGAAAGCAAATATTAAGATTGTTAGATTATAGCCCAACTCGTCCTTTTTCACCGGGGGCGAGAATTAGGCCCCCTTTTTTTCCGAGACAGACAATTTTTAGGTGGGTGTAAAAATATGTTGGAGTTTTCGCAAAAACGCAAAAAAAAAAAAAAAACGCATCTGAATAAGTACGGTAAAAGCCGAGTTCTTCCGGGCAATCCTTAGCCCTCTCCCTTTTCTTTGCCGGAGAATTTCAAAAATCCCTTCTTAATGCGCATTCTCGTGACGTACAGTACCTTAACTGTGCATCAAATTTCATCTTTCGACTCCCAACCTTTTGGCTCGGCGCTTATTATTATTATTATGTTGGGTTTAGCGAGTTATACTCGGTCGATACCCACGGCCGCGTACCATGGCGGACCAGAGTGGGGGGGTAGTAACCGAAACCAGAGAAAAATTTAAAAAGTGTGTCGATGCGTGTGTCTGTATTCGGGAATTTCCTAACGATACGACACGTATTCGATACACCGCAGTGGCCTTCCGTTACGCGATGTATGCGTTTCTATTCAATTGTAACGTTCCCAGGCTTTGATGTAGTGCGTGTGGAGAGAACGACGGGTACGGTACGATAAGCACCCTATCCATCCTACACGGATGCCTTATTATTATCATCGACTCGCCTCGATTATACGTATAGGTTAAATTTTATGTAACTCGTAAGATGGAAAAATTCTACGGTGGATTCTAATTAAAAAAATAGTGTTTGGTTTACACCAAACTATACGTAACTCGGGCGCATCTTTCTCAAAAACTGCCGTGCAGAAAGGTAGGACGGGCGCAAAAAGATTTTCCTTCCGGCCAATGGAAAACGAGAGAGAGAAAGGCGAAATGGCTGCCGAGAGAATACGCACCGACCGATTAACTCACCCTACCGTCGTCGAAGTAAGGCAACCCGGTGAAAGGGAGGCCGAAGGTCAAAAGGCGAGACGAGAAACGCTGGGATATTGGTCGGACGAAGCTCGGGTTCGATAACCGCGGCGAAATCGACTTGCCGAAAATACGAAATAATTGTAAAAGGACCCGCCGCACCCACCAATAAAACGGGCCTATGCGTCGTTGACTCCGTAACCCCCGTATAATGGGTGAAGGGCCGGCCCGACTCCAATTATTTTCGTTAGTAGATTTAATGGTAAAACCACTTTACGTGGAAAAAAGTAAAATTTTGCCTAGCATTTCCTGTCTGGCCAAATATTGGATTAACGGACAAGTAGGAACGACTCCGTCGGCCTTTGGCAAAAAGTTATGGTCTAATGGAAGTAAAATGCGGCGGCGGCAAACCACACCCGCATCGAAAATCGCCGGATACGTTCGACTGTAAGTGTAAATAGCCAATAAAAGCCCCTGGCCTGCGAAAACCTTTTATTTTTATTGTAAATCTGTTGGATTTTCTAAAATCTCTATCGATTATAAGGTAAGAAAAGACGATATCGACGTCGGACCGGGTATAAAACTTCTTACGGCGCCCGCCCGGAGGAAGAAGAAAAACGGCGCAATTGCCCGCCACCGTTCTCCTTCCTGCTCGGCCGGAAGTGACGGAGAGGCCGTCCGAAGCGCCGCCTTCCGTCCCTTCCGATCACTTCCGGGAGAAGCGTCCGCCCGTCGTCGGCCCGCGGTCGGCCGATTTCAGGTATTGGGTCCACCTGCCGCCTAGCCTCTCTTCCGACGGTAACCGCCCGGAGTCCGGCGGGGGGAAAGACGGGATCGCTCGACCCGGCGGTCGACTCCGCTTCCGCGCCGCGCATTTACCTCCGGGACGCGGAGTTCTCGGGCGGCCACGGACGGGAGTCGGCGCGACAACGACTACGCCCGACGGGTGGGTGGCGGTCGGAAAGCGGAGGGCCGGGGTAGAGCTCGCCCTTCTCTCCTCTCGGAAAAGTTAAAGACTCTTATTAAGACCTCTTATTTCTCGGCCTCTTTCCACGGTCGCGTCGACGCGTTTTCCGTTTCGCCCTCGTCCCGCATTTATCGACGGCGTAACAAAGCCCGAGACGGAAAAGACGAAACTCCGTTGGCATTCCGACGTCATTCGCTCTTCCGTCCCTCTATTTCGTCACCACCGGACGCCTTTTACCGTATTTCTTCTTCGGGGGAGTTGGACGCTGGCTACCGGGCTTTCGCCTCCCTTTTACACTAATTTTTTACGCATTTCGTAGAAACCGTCGACTTCCGCGCTCGACCGGAAGCCGAGTATCGCGTCGTGCGCCGGTCGGATAACCGCTTTAAAAGTGGCGCCGGGCGCCAATGGGAAAAAGTCTGCCCTATTTTCCCGGAGTGGAAAATACGTAGCCTTTTCGGGTGTCGGGTACGCGGCCCAGCCCGCGCCACTTAATCTATTTATTTTAGCTGGGATTTACAAATTATAAAATTTTTAGATTTAACGCGTCGTCTATTAAAGTTTAAATGGCAATTTCCGTCTCCCGTGGTAACGTCGAAACGTTTTTTACAGAGAGATCGCCTAGTTCCCGCCGCATCTCTAGAGAAGATGACTCAGAAGATAGAATCGGATAGCGCCAACGGTCGCGCGCCCGGTCCTTCCGGTCGCGTCGCTTCCGGCTCTCTGTCGGGACTGCCGCAGCCGCTGAGTCCCACCGTCATACTGCTGCAGAAGGCCAGAGGTCAGACGCTCTCTTTTTTTTATATCCGTCGCTGCCACCGGCCGTTACGTCGCGCCGGGTCGACGCGTAACGGCCGACTTTCGCGCCCGTCGCGCCGCCGTCGTCCGCTACGCTTCCTTCCCGCGCCGTCCGGACATTTCCGGCAAAAGACCGATTCCGAACAACGTTTATTATGGGAAAAATACTCTCGGGGGGAGTTTCCGTCACAAAACGTAACGCGATTAAAAGAAGCGTAATTTTTCATTGTCTTTAATAGTCGATATTGTAGGCCTAGTCGAGAAGACGATTCGGTCGGTCGCGTTGTTTACGATTCCTCCGTACCTAAAACGGTGTTACGGATTTAAGTCAAATAAAGAAATTTATCGTCAGTCGCTTTGTTGGCCGAGCAATTCCGTTTCCCGAACACCGCCAGTTCGGTGCTGGGTCGGCGCCCGGGTCCTTAGCCTCTCGACGCTTCCGAGGTATCGCGTGGTACAATTTGACACTCCGACGCGAAATCGGTAGTCTCCAGTCGCTACTCGCGTCGCGTACGAAAGCGAAACTGGCTGACGGATAGGCCATTTCGATGGCAACCGAAGCGTTAGAAAGAGTGGTTTAAAAAGGCCACCAGCGGGTTCTGTTTCTTTTTACGTCGAGTCGACAGGGAAAAAATTGATAAAATTATACGGCAAAAATAAAAAGAAGTATCTAATTGATGGAAAAGGGGAATTAAAACCGCGTATAAATTATTAAGATTATTTATTAATCACAAGTTGTGATTAATAAAGAATCTTAACAGATGAAGAATTTAAGAAAGAGATGGAAGAAGAAAACTGCGCCAAGAAACAGTGGCGTAGCGTGGGTGTCGGCCGCCCGGGGCGGAGGAAAATTTTGCCTCCCGTTATTTAGGTATCTCGATTTAAAAGACTAAAATTTAGTTTCTTCACAGAATAAGTAACGAAAAATTCCGCGCTAGTGTCGCCACCTTATTAAAATCGCCGACCCGGACGGCGGGTGAGGTTCGTTCGAATAGAAGTTCCCGACGCAGGCGTATGTCATTTTGCAATGCGAAGAATAATGTGCGGCGCGTGCCGGTTCTAAATCAATTGCAATTAGCGACTAGGGAGACTCGGATAGGAGTAACGCCAGTGACCTAGCTCTGTTGGATATTGAAGGTGTATATATATATACGAATAAATCGTACAAGCAAAAAAGAAAAAATAAAACGGTCAACAGGTTGCGCACGATATCCCCGGACTATCCGGATGGATGGTAACACTATTCCGTGCTCATTTCGATCGGTCCGAGTCGCGGGTGGACGAAAATATGAAATAAAACGGTTCAAATTCTTACAAGATTTTATTATTATTTATTGTGAAATTTTATGCCCCCACTACGCTACGCTACTGCGAAGAAAGGATTAAATTAAAATACTTTTTCCGTTACACGAATTCTCCACAAATCCAATTGTCTTTTTTTTTTGTAAATTCGTTGTCGAATTTTCCATTCTTCGTTTCTTATTATTTTCTATACACGTTACTAATACTTCTTTTTGTTCTTCGCTTATTTTTAAAATAAAGCCTCGGATGTTTCCATTTTGTTTCCGCCTATTATACGAGTATTCCTATAAGACAAAACTTTTAACTGTAACGCGTGTAAACTAATTCGCGTCGATTCGTTTACGACTGGTTACGGTAAAGTCGATCGGTCGAATGGGTACGGTGGCAAACCCGGATGCGTTGTAAATAATCCCGATACATTTAACGACGTACTGTACGTAACCGAGTATGACGTATTTCCGCTCGCCTTTCGAGTTGGCTCGATGGGTCTATACTCGAGACTACCGATTACGCGAGTTCGACGACGTCGATTCCAGTACAACGCGAAAAACTCGAGACTAAGGACCCGGGATGGGCCGGCCGCGTAGAGTTTTCGGGGTTTTCTCCACGTCCGGAAAAGCATCTCCTAGGCGGATGGTCCGAGTGTCGCCTTGCCGTAACTCGATAAAACAAACAAACCAGTCCCTTTGTCCATCGATAACTACGCTTTAAAACTCGTAATGATTTTTCTAAGCGGCGCAATTGGACGCGATACGCGAACAAAAACATGGGGTCCGAGTAGAATTTAGACGACGGTCGGAAGCGATTTTTACCCGTAATTACCTTACATTTGGCCTTTTAAGCCCTAAATTTTGACCGTCGTTTTTCTTTGGGAAAATCTCGGATAGAAATTTCTGTCTTTAGAACTTTAAGACAGATTAAGCGCTTAACCGTTTATTTCCGGCTCGATTAGAATTTGATTCTATTCCGAGTAATAAAGAAATGATTAATTTCTGCACGGATGGCCCCGAAAGTGGGAAGTCGAGTTTTCGGTCTTGGAGCCCATGGGTAGAGATAAAGTTTGGGCTTTTTCTTCCCGGGCGGTGCCTAAGTTAAAAACTAATTTCTTCTTCCGCGTTTCTTTACGCATCGTAGTTTGGAAAGACGGACGCCGTAATCTGTCCCTTAATGGCGGGTACGGCCGAAAGTTGCGCTTTAGGTAAAGAATCGAGCGTTTATCTTTCCAAAAATGTCGCCAAAGTAAAGAGATAAAAGATATTTAAAGTATAGTATTTTCTTTCGGAGTCGTAACATTTAATCCGTCTTAATCTTTCTATAATACTGTATTGTCATTTTTACAGCATAATACGGTGTTATACACGCCAGCGTGCATTTTGCTTTATCTGTGCCGCATTCGGAAAATACCAGTGGCTGCGTAAAGAACGGCTATTCGAGACGGCAAAATGAAGCTTATTCGTTTTCTATTTTAAACTTTAATGTCGCCAGTCGATTTAAATTATTTGTTTTAAAAACTAATATAGTCGAAAAACCAATGGCGGAAACAACTTCCGTGTAAATAATTGAACGGTAACTGGGAGAGAAATTCGATTCCCGCACCCAAACCCATGGAATCGATACTCGCAATTACCCCGGACGTACAATACGTATGTGTACAAATATGCTAACTGCCACGTAACCGATGGAGCGTGTCCGGAAAACGGAATAGGGATACTTCGCTCTATTTACCACACTGCGGCCGTTAGCCTTTCTCCGGTGTCCCCAGCAAAATGCGATGAACGTAGAAAGAACAGTTAACGCGCGAAACTAAACTAAACGTGATTTGAGCCTTTCGTTACGTCTTTACGTTGTTTGTAGGTTTTCAAATCTTAATATTCTTTTGTAGAATTTGTCGGATGGTAATTTTATGAAAATTAATTCCCAGACCCAGTCCGTTTATTCATTTCTAATGTTCCAGAATACAAAAATTTGACGACCCGACCTTTCTTTTTAGGCCGCTTGGCCGTCCAGTTTAAAGGATGTCTGTAAGATTCGCCGGTTCCAATTTTAACTGGTAATTTTAATTGGATATTTTCTGTTTTTTTTCAAACTCGACGGCCGAGCGGCCTAAAAAGGAAGGTCGGATGGTCAAATTATACGCTAGAAGCGAATAGGTGGTGGTTGCCGGTGTCTTCGGATTAATTTTCTTAATATTCTTCTTTCGGAGCGTTGCAATTTTATGCGATTTGGTAGATCGGCGTGGTTCGGCCCCGGAACAGTGTTTGGATTTTGGTATTAGCCCATCATTTTTCCACCCGTACTTGTATTTAGAAGGTCGGCAATATTTTTCTAGCCAGTTACTTAGCCTATAAAAGATTCTTTCTTGCAGAGTTTAATTAATTTAAAACTGCCGAAAAGAACTTGCTTTTTATATAATGCGCGTACAGTACTTTGTCCTCGTTATCCTGGTAGAATTATAAGGTAGATATCGTAATGCTCTGATGAAATTGTTCTGTGTGACGCCGAGTCCGTATGGAAATGCCGTATCTTACTTTAGATTTAATACATACAGTAGAACCTCGATTATCCGCCCCCCGATCAACCGACCCCTCGGTTAACCGACTGTCCTAGTCGGCAAATTTCAAATGTCCGCTAGTGATGTGGCGCTACAATATTTGGCTATGTCTCGGCTACTTTAATATTATTTTTACGTGTTTTAGCTGGCAACACTCATTCGACCATGAAAGGGAGCCAGTATTTAAACGAAGCTTAATTTTCTAATTTTTAACGATACAATAGCGACGATTATTATTTTAAAAAATTTTTGTTAGGCTTAACATCGATGAAAATTCAACGCAAAATAGGTTAATAGCGATATACTAATATACTAATTACATGGGATATAATAATATACTACACTAATAATGGATTTTTTCATACTTTTCGGTTATCCGACTTTTCAATTATCCGACCAACCCCAGTCCCCAATTAGGGCGGATAATCGAGGT